GTCCATCATGATCAAGTCAGCTTCATCCCTGGGATGCAAGGCTGATTCAACATACACAAATCAATAAATGTAATCCATGACACAAACAGAACCAATGACAAAAACCACATGATTATATCAATAGATGCAGAAAAAGGCCTTTGACAAAATTGCCCTTCATACTAAAAACTCTCAACAAACTAGGTACTGATGGAATATATCTCAAAATAATAAGAGCTATTTATGACAAACCCACAGCCAATATCATACTGAATGGGCAAAAACTGGAAGCATTCCCTTTGAAAACTGGCAAAAGACAAGGATGCCCTCTCTCACCACTCCTATTCGGCACCATATTGGAAGTTCTGGCCAGGGCAATCAGGCAAGAGAAAGAAAGTGTATTCAGTTAGGAAAAGAGGAAGTTAAATTGTCTGTGTTTGCAGATGACATGATTGTATATTTAGAAAACTCCATCATCTCAGCCCAAAATCCCTTTAAGCTGATAAGCAACTTCAGCAAAGTCTCAGGACACAAAATCAATGTGCAAAAATTGCAAGCATTCCTATACACCAATAACAAAAAAGAGCCAAATCATGAGAGAACTCCCATTCACAATTGCTACAAAGAGAATAAAATACCTAGGAATCTACCTTACAAGGGATGTGAAGGACCTCTTCAAGGAGAACTACAAACCACTGCTCAGCGAAATAAAAGAGGACACAAACAAATGGAAAAACATTCACATGCTCATGGATAGGAAGAATCAACATCGTGAAAATGGCCATACTGCCCAAAGTAATTTATAGATTCAATGCTATTCCTATCAAACTACCATTGACTTTCTTCACATAATTAGAAAAAACTACTTTATATTTTATATGGAACCAAGAGACCACATAGCCAAGACAATCCTAAGTAAAAAGAACAAAGCTGGAGGCATCATGCTACCTTGACTTCAAACTATATTACAAGGCTACAGTAACAAGAACAGCATGGTACTGGTACCAAAACAGAGATATAGACCAATGGAGCACAACAGAGGCCTCAGAAATAACACCACACATCTACAACCATCTGATCTTTGACAAACCTGACAAAAACAAGCAATGGGGAAAGGATTCCCTATTTAATAAACAGTGTTGGGAAAACTGAATAACCATATCCAGCAAGCTGAAACTGGATCCCTTCCTTACACCTTATACAAAAATTAACTCAAGATGGATAAAAGACTTAAATGTAAGACCTAAAAACATAAAAATCCTAGAACAAAACCTAGATAATACCATTTAGGACACAGGCATGGGCAAAGACTTCATGATTAAAACACCAAAAGCAATAGCAACAAAAGCCAAAATTGACAATGGGATCTAATTAAACTAAACAGCTTCTGCACAGCAAAAGAAACTATCATCAGAGTGAACAGGCAACCTATGGACTAGGAGAAAACTTTTGCAATCTATCCATCTGAAAAAGGGCTAATATCCAGAATCTACAAAGAACTTAAACAAATCAACAAGAAAAAAACAACCCCATCAAAAAGTGGGTGAAGGATACGAATAAACACTTCTCAAAAGAAGACATTTACGGAGCCAACAGACATATGAAAAAATGCTGGTCATTAGAGAAATGCAAATCAAAACCACAATGAGATACTATCTCATGCCAGTTAGAATGGCAATCATTAAAAAGTCAGGAAACAACAGATGCTGGAGAGGATGTGGAGAAATAGGAACGCTTTTACTCTGTTGGTGAGAGTGTAAATTAGTTCACCCATTGTGGAAGACAGTGTGGCGATTCCTAAAAGTTCTAGAACTAGAAATATCATTTGACCCAGCAATCCCACTACTGGGTATATACCCAAAGGATTATAAATCATTCTACTATAAAGACACAGGCACACATATGTTTATGGTGGCACTGTTCACAATAGCAAAGACTCGGAACCAACTCAAATGCCCATCAATGATAGACTGGATAAAGAAAATGTGGCACATATACACCATGGAATACTATGCAGCCATAAAAAATGATGAATTCATGTCTTTTGCAGGGACATCAATGAAGCTGGAAACCATCATTCTCAGCAAACTACCACAAGAACAGAAAACCAAACAGCGTATGTTCTCACTCATTAGTTAGAGTTGAACAATGCGAACACATGGACATAGAGAGGGGAACATCAGACACTCAGGCTTTTTGGGGGGTGTAGGGTGGGGGGAGGGATAGCATTAGGAGAAATAACTAATGTAGATGACGGGTTGATGGGTGCAGCAAACCACCATGGCACATGTATACCTATGTAACAAACCTGCACGTTCTGCATATATAACCCAGAACTTAAAGAATTTAAAAAAAAAAAGAAAAAAAAAGAAAAAGAAAAGAAACACTAGTCTCCTGCATACACTATGACCCTCTTGGAGATCCAGAATGCATATTAAAAGTTCTGAGAGGCCGGGCACAGTGGCTCACACCTGTAATATCAACACTTTCAGAGGTCAAGGCAAGAGGGTCACTTGAGATCAGGAGTTCAAGACACACCAGGGCAACAAGCAAAACCCTCATCTCTACAAAAAAAAAAAAAATTAAGAAAGTTAGCCAGGTGTGGTTCCAGCTACCTAGGAGACTGAGGCTTCAATGAGCTATGATCATGCCACTGCACTCTAGCCTGGGTGTCAGAGTGAGACCCCAACTCTAAAGTAAAAATGAAACTAAAAAATGTTCTGGGAAACTCTAAACCTTGTTTAACTTTTTTAACCCAATTTTCCTCAAATTTCTTGAGTTTTGGTCCCTTTCCCCTAAATACTGCGAATTAGCCCGGCAGAAAAACAGTAGCCTGTGGTACAGGGATTCCCTAACCCCTGAGGCCTGGACCGGTACCATTAGGTGGCCTGTTAGGAACCAGGCTGCACAGCAGGAGGTGAGCAGTGGCCAAACAAGCATTATTGCCTGACCTCTACCTCCTGTCAGATCAGCAGTGGCATTAGATTCTCATAGGAGCATGAACCCATCATGAACTGCGCATGCAAGGGATCTAAGTTGCATGCTCCTTATGAGAATATAATGCCTAACAATCTGAGATGAAACAGTTTCATCATGAAACCAGCTACCCACCCCATCCGTGGAAAAATTCTCTTCCACAAAACCAGTCCCTGGTGCCAAAAAGGTTGGCTATGGCTGCTGTGGCACACACTTTAATTAATTCTACACTGATTTTAAACAATCAAATCTTGTTTCTTTGTTGGTTTATATCATCATTTCAAAAAACTTTCTCGCTTTCCTTGTGTTGCCTCTGTCTAATATTTTAGCTTGAAGTTTAATTGCTAAACCAAAGTTTCAGTAAGAGGCCTTCCCTAAAAGAAAAATGATGTTTGGTAAATTATGTAACAAAATGCAGTTTCGCTATAAAGAGGAATAACGTGGTTCTACCACATTACTTCTTTGTGCACTCATTCATTTGTTCCTTCACTCATTTGACTTGTTTATTCCCAGAAGTACAGTGATAAAGGCTGTCAATGCAAATGGGGAAAAATTCACCAAACCTATAATGAGTCCTATGACAGAGATAAGAATAGAAAAGCCCTATTTCTCTCCTAACTGGAAAGGGATGAGGGAAGTTGGCAGGTTAAATAAAGTTCACAGCAAGGCTCATAGTAGAGATGAAGAATTTTGGTTGCAAGTGAGAAAGACTCAACTCCAATTAGATTAAGCAGGAGGGGAGTGTGTCAACTCATTACTTAGGCAGTCCAAGGGTAGAGCTGGCCTCAGGCATGACCAGTTCCATGAAGTCAAAGGACATTAACAAGACTGCTTGCCGTCATCTATTTCTCATCTCTACTTTTCTCTAGTTGTTGCCAGCACAAATAGGGTTTTTCCATGAGACAAGAAGGACAGCAGCCCCTAATTCATTCACATCTTTCTGGCAACATGACCAAAAAGGCAAGGCCCCTTCTCCAACTCTCTCTCTCCATCAGCCTCAGAGTAGGATTCTCATGCCCCAGACCAATCATCACATTCCAATTACCGGCCCAGCTGCCTATCAGCCTGCAGCTTCAAACTCCTTCTGAGGCCCACAAGAACCCCAGGGCTGTGTGGGAGGTGACACAGATGATCACAGCTCCGATTTTACATTATGTAGACAGTGAAATGGAGATGAAATTTTCAAACAAGCAATAAAGAACTCGTATGAAATTTTGGAGTGTAACTTTCAGGGACTGTCTTTTTTGTTCTCCTTATTTTGTTTTGTTTAGTTTTTTTACCTCAGGTAAAAAGGTGAACAGCTCAGAGATGTAACTGTATTTTTCTTTTCTTAAGCAATTTTTTCTTACTCTGCCTACATTCACCTTTTCTTCCAAGGGAGAGGTAAAACCACTGCTTTTAAGTGAGAAGAAATATCAGTTATTGTACTAACAGGGTATGTGTTCAAGAATCAAAAAACCTTGCCTACTCTACTTAAGGTCTTAAAAATTACTTTGCTAATCCCATTACTGGGAATATACCCAAAGGATTATAAATCATTCTACTATAAAGACACATGCACATGTATGTTTATTGCAGCCCTATTTACAAGAGCAAAGACTTGGAACCAACCCAAATGCCCATCAATGATAGACTGGATAAAGATATTGTGGCTTATATACACCATGGAATACTAGCAGCCATAAAAAAAGAATAAGTTAATGTCCTTTACAGGGACATGGATGAAGCTGGAAGCCATCATTCTCAGCAAACTAACACAGGAACAGAAAACCAAACACCGCATGTTCTCACTCATGAGTGGGAGTTTAACAATGAAAACACATGGACACAGGGAGGGGAACATCACACACTGGGGCCTGTTGGGGAATGGGAGGCAAGGGGAGGGAGAGCATTAGGACAAATACCTAATGCATGCAGGGTTTAAAACCTAGATGGCGGGTTGATGGGTGCAGTAAACCACCATGGCACATGTATACCTATGTAACAAACCTGCATGTTCTGCACACGTATCCCAGAACTTAAAGTAAAAAAATTTTAAAAATTACTTTGCTAATGTCTTTCAACTCCAACGTCTTAGTGTAACTTCAGGTGCTATTGAGTTTTGACCTAGGGTGGCATAAAGAAAATAGATTCCATTATTTTGTAACATTGCTCATTCCATAAATAAATAAATAAATAAATTTCAACAATATAACCAATTAAATAATTTTAGACATTTAAACACATGTACACAGAATATACTATTTCTATGCATGTACTTATATACATCAAGGTTTCTTTCAAGATGCATCAACATTATTAGGCTTCACTCGCAGTCCTTAATAAAGATTCTTGAGCTTTGTCTTCTTCAGGCAAATTTAATTCTAGAATTTCCATTTTTGGGTATTCCTCAAATTGTGATCCAGGACTACATGCATCAAAATTACATGAGAAAGCTTATTCAAATGCAGAATTTGGGATCCCACTCTGTATCTATTGAATCAGAATCTCATGGGGAAAGTTCTAGGAATCTTAGTATTTAAAGCTTTGCAAATGATATTTCCGCACCCTAAAATATGAGAAGCTCCATTCTAAAACTTTGGAGAGTTTTAATTGCAATTTCTGAGTTACGGTGTCAGATACTATGTTTTTCTATCTCTAAAGTAGGATAAAATATTTGTGAATTCTGTGAACTTTATTTTGTCATTAAAATGTAATTAGCAATCTTTGTGGGTCACGCTGGTTTAAAGTTCTCTGACAAAGTAGCTATAAGCATAGTTAATGAAACAAAGTCCTTTGGATTTAAAAATACTCACTCTAATGAGTATTAATGAATAAGATAGGTAAATTCCATTGTAACAAACTTTTGTGATTATAACAAATGAATCAATATGATTTTATTATAATGTTACATTGCAAAAACTGATGTGATAATTAAGATCCAACTGAAATTAATCTAGATAGTAAAATTTTATGAAAACTCATTACAGTTGTGAGCTTTCTTCCAAATGAACAACCTAGACTTTTCATAAACAGGATTTTATTTCCAAACCAAGACAAGTTATAAGAAGTCAATACATACAATCCAGTTCCTCCCACTAGCAATTCTATAGGAGCTGCTTAGAAAGTCTTTGCATCTTTAGAGCCAGAAGAGCCTTAGGGATAGTGAACTTCAACCCTTCTTACAGATGAAGAGACTGAAGGGCAAATCTCATGATTGACAGCAGAAACAGAAGGAAAATCCTAGTGTTCTGATTGCCTTGTCCTCCTACTGGAGTACAGAATTAAATGATTCTTCTGGAATATCCATTGTTCTCAAAGATTCAGGGGTGGGTGGGAGCAAACATTTTTTACATGTAACAGGTATGCTACAGAGTTTAAAAAAAAAAAAAAAGTCACGTAAAACATGAGACTTGAAAGAAATGCCATTCAGTCACCTTGAGTTATTCATTCTTTCTCTCCTTCCATTCAAGATACATGGTGAAAATGTTTAAAAATCCCAGTGCCTACCCCAATTTCCCTACCAAAATATGACAAAACTAAAAGAGAACAGAGAACATGACACCCAAAGTAGTCATGTATAATTACTTTATACATATCCAGATAGATCCAGTGTAGTTGAGAATAAAGCAAGTGAGGTTATTAAGCTCTTCTCAGATAGTTTACTGAGCATCTACTACAAATCTGGGCCTGGGTTTCACTTATTCACTCTATTATTCAACAGACACATATGGAACACCTACTAGGAGCTAGAAGCTATGACATGCTCTGTTGATATTAAGATGAATAGACAGGGGAAAGCAAAATTAAACCCACAATTACAGTGTGTTGGATTACTGTAACAATCTAACAGTAATCTGTAGAACCAGGTGTTATGGCCAAAACTACTCAACTAGGTTGACTCAGAGAAGAATCAAAGTGGAAATGACATTGGGCTGAGTCTTGAAAGACAACCAGGAGTTTTCTAATGGAATAATAGAAAAAGAAGAGAAAATAGTGGGGACAACCCATGCAGAGGTATGAAAGGGTGAGGAGTCATCTATAAGCAGTTGAAGAGAGGATCCAGAGAAGACAATATTACAGACATGAGCATTGTTTTGTGCCATCTGCACAATGTGGGCAAAGCCAAACAAGTTTTTAAAATAATAATAATCTACCCTCCTTGAGCAACATACTGTAGAATGGTGAATGAGGGAGCCCATCCTTGAGAGCTGGATTCAGAATGAAAGAAATTTATTCTTACATTTCCTCTCTTTAAAGCCTTAGACGCCTTCCCAGCTTTCAAAGTCCTCTACCAGCAAAACTGCTAGGATTTCCAGAATCCAAACAGAGTCCTTGAAAGGAAGGAATGATCAAATCAAAGAGGGGATATGCATCCCCATGATTACCATAAAATTTTGTCTCCTTTCTAAGTCCCTTGGTATGTAGATCATAGCCCTTTTTTGCACTGGTAAGAGATGGTAGGTGATAGACATGAGTTCCAGGTTTCACTACTTTAAAACCGTGTGACTTCAGGGAAGCCACATACCTCTCAGGACATTTTTCTCATCGTAAACACCCTGCTAGTTTCAGTGTGGAGCTTAGACATGATGTGAGGCAGAGCACCTGTTACAAGGTCTAGCCTATCCTGGGCCTTCTACGGGGCAGCTGCTACCAGTATTACGCAGTTTCATTCATTCATTCAACAAATATTTACTGAGGACTTACCATGCAGAAGCCAGAAGAAATACAAAAATAAATCTGAATTGGATTTTGCTCTCAAGGACCTCCCAATCTATAGAAGAGATATAGGACCAAGCCAAATAGCTATACCATAAAGAAGAAAGCATTTACCACCAAGAGAAATTACTGGGGTAGTTGGGAGGATGGGCGGAGATTACTTGTAGAGTGGAGGGATTTGGTAAGAGAGAAGGGGAAAGGACTAGGGGCTGGCTGAGGATAAAAGAGAGGAGAAATAGCTGAGCTAGGCACTCTTATGCCTTCTGATGTGGGTATAGCGAGTATCCATCGGACCCTTTCACAAATGAAATAAAAGGGGTTCCGGGAAGTATCACAACTCACTCAACTCAGAACTCCCCACCTCTAATCCAAAACATTTGCCATTAAATCTACCTCCTATAGCTAGGACCATTTGCAGATGGTAGGGGGCAAGACAGGGGAAAGTAGCAGGAAGGAGGTGATGGGGTCACCGGGCACTGTCGCAGGTCAAGGCAGAGCAGACTCAGCGGGGCGCGCGGTAAGAGGCGGAGGGCAGGGGCGGGCCGGCAGGGAAGGGTGTGTGGAAGGGCAGGCCAAGGGGCGGGGAGAGGGGTGCGGGCCGCACTCAGAGGCCGTCCAAGACACTGGCAAGCCGCAGAAGCCCAGTTCGCCGGCCATGAAGCAGCGGTTCTCGGCGCTGCAGCTGCTGAAGCTGCTGCTGCTGCTGCTGCTGCTGCTGCTGCAGCCGTTGCTGCCACGAGCGCTGCGCGAGGCGCGCTGCCCTGAGCCCTGCAACTGCGCGCCCGACGGCGCCCTGCGCTGCCCCGGCCCGACGGCCGGTCTCACTCGACTGTGAGTACACAGCGCTCCCGTCGGGCCCCCTCGATACAGGACCCTCAATCGCCTATGCCATCTTCCCTCCCTACTCCTTTGGCCCTCTTTCCCTGGAAGCTTGGAGAAAGATGCTGTGCCCTCTCCAATTTCCCCGCTTTAGGGTGATGAGAACCCAAAGCTTGGTGGTTGTTTTTGCCACCCCATGCCCCTGAGAGCCCAGCCCCGCTCTTTCCCCCTGGTTGGGGCTGCGGCTGGGGGAGTAGAACTATTCCGGAGCCTCAGGAGAAGGCCTGCTCTCTGCTGCTGCTTGAAGGGAATATGGGTGTGACGCTCCTCAACTCCTCTAGCAGGGGTCTCTGCCAGAGAAATCTTACAGGCCTTTGAGCCTTGGGCCAGCCACGTCAGGGAAGGTGAATGTGGGCTCTGGCACCCTGTGGTCCTCTAGGAATGGAGTGCTCAGGCCCTACAACCAAGGGTGACCTCATCTGTCAACTGACTGCTGGCGGTCACACGGGCATCTTAGTGAGCATACAAGCCGCTGCTCCGCCGTGCCCAGATGTGCTTGAACTTCAGTCTCGTGGTCTAATGGACCAAAGGCCCTGTGCCCTGCCGCTGGCACCCGCGCACCCCCTCCACGCTCACAGGCCTGATTGAAGGATTGTATACATCAGCAAGCAGGCGGAAGCTGTTGTTTCCAGAGTGATGGGGTAAAGAGGAGAAGGAGGACCTTTAGCACTACTAGTCTATCAGGGTGTCATCAGGTCTCCTTTCTCCCATTTAGAAAAAAAGTGCCACATATTTTATAATCCCATTTACATGAAATGTCCACATAACCTGAAAGTAGATTAGTAGTTGCCAGGGCTGGGGAGGCGGATGGGAGGGACAGTGGGTGACTACTAATCAGTGGGTATGGGCTTGTGGGGGGCTGATGAAAATTTTGTAAAATTAGATTGTAGTGACAGTTGCAAGTGCACATATTAAAAAACACTGCATTGTCCACTTTAAATTCTATAGTATAGGATTTACATCTCAATCCCGCTGTGAAAAGAGAAAAGGAAAAAAGAAAGGAAAAAAAGACAAAAGACAAGAATATCTAAAAGGCTGGTAGCGGTCTTGATCATGTTCTAACAATTAGAGATGATGGAATTCTGTGCTGGGGAAGGAAGGAGACCACCCCCTCTGCCATTTCCTCTGAGGCCCCAAGAGTCTGTCAGGGACCCGTTTCATAGAGGAGACTCACCCTCCCTGCCAAGCCAGGCTTCTTCCTTTGGAAAAGTTAAAGGCCTTCTGGCAATAATTGAGGTTGAGACATACAGTTTAAGGGTTGAGGGGTTTATATTAATTAGTTTCCATTAATTATCTTGTCAGCTCCATTCCCTGAAGGAATGGACCATGCTGATAGAATTTATTTCAATCAATCCACAAATCCATGGAATAGGCCTTCCAAGTTCCAGCCCTGGTCCATCCCCGACAAGCCTGCCGTGTTGCTCTGAAGAATGACTGTACTATGAATAGACTTTCTCACTTGCCTGCTACTTATTATACAGATTAGAAGAAACTGAGATCCAAAGAGATGGAATAACTTGCTCAAGGTCCCACAACTATTGAGTAGCAATTCAGGACTTTATCTATTAATTATCTTCTTAAATTTGCTCGTCTTTGTAAAAAAAACTACTGCTTTCTTAATAAAACACACACAGACACACACACACAGACACACACACACACTCAATTTCTTAGTACTGAGCAAAGAACTCCCACTGGGGGCATGAATGGGTGGGCCAAGTCCCAGTTCCTTTTCATTTTGGCTTTTCAGTGAGATCTCTCAAGGGCTCCTGCTGCCACGTGCTGTTCTCAGGAAGGGACCCCCTTCCCAGGAAAAGGCTGAAGTTAATTTTTTAAAAAATCCCACTTTCTCCTGCTGCCTTTCAGCAGGGTTTCAAGAATCCTAGAACCCCTCAAAAATATTTGATAGGGCTGACTAGGTTTGGGGGTAGAGACCCTGAGCATCCACCACCAGGAACATCCTCTGCCAGTCATTTAGCCTCCTTAGCCAAGCGTGGTGACCCTCACAAGGTTGCATTTCCTGAGCACCAGATGGTTGAGAGATGCCCTCCTCTTTCAAGAGATGCCCTTGTCACTCTGTGGAGGTTGAGCCTATGCAGGCTGAAACAGGATAACTTTTGGCACAACATAGTGACACCAACATCCATATGACAAAAGAGGTGCATGTTAAGCAAAGGGAGGGTTGTTACTTTAAGGCAATATTTCTCAAAGTATGGTCCTAGCCCAACAGTATGAACATCACCTGGGAAATGTTAGACTGCATATTCTCAGGCCCCAGCCCCAACCTACTGAATCAGAAACTCCAGGGGTGGGTCCAGCAGGCTACATGTTAACAAGCTCCTCAGGTGATTCTGATGCATACTAAAGTTTGAGAACCAAGGCACAGCTCTCCAGGGAGGTATCACCTTAGAGACAAAAAAGTATATTTTAAATGTCTTTGTGCCGTACACTTCCCTTCCCTACCCCCCCAAAACATGCGTAACACCTATTTATTGCAAAAAGGCATAAAACTAAAATCCTAAACCCAGAGGCAGATGGAAAATAAGCAGAATTGAAGAAAGTTTTTTATTTTTCCTCAAAGAGGACTGCAGGAAGGAATCCATGGAGGACAGACTGAAGATACAGGGAACGAGGGAGGAATGTTAATTGTTAGAGTCAGATCTCAGTGGGGGTAGGAGGAGAGCATCAGTCTAACAACAGAGGGGAAAGATTAATCTTAGAAAGAATAAGGATAGTTTTGAGTCCTGAGGGAAGAAGACCGTGGGTAAAGGAATAACTCAATATTAAAACAAAGGACAGGAAAAGTGGACAGGTTCATACTGAAATCCTCTTTTCTTGATGATGAATGCATGAAATGATAAACAGTAATTATGAGACAGAAAACTGCTATTGGCAAGTTATCAGTTCATAAAAAAAAGAAAGCTTAAATTATGAGGTAAGTCTTCCAGGAGGAGAGGATGTGGTCTTGCACTACATTATAATAGACTTTGCCTCTGCAGAGAGAAGGGGAGCACTCCAAGTTCTCAGGGTTGGAGGAGGCAAGTACCGCAGAGCACCTTAGGATTCAGCATCAGTCCCTCAATAGATGTTAGTTTATGCTTTAGTCATTTGGGGTCCTAGTAACCTTACCTTCTAAAACCTCCATCCGTAGTTCACTATTTGGTTTAAGAAGAAGAATAAAAACAAGGTACATGGATTATAGCTGCTTATCACTGGCAAGCCCACTGCTTACAAATTTTGAAAATGGCATCATTCAAATCTTTACTCCCCTTCCATATTTTATGAAAAACATAGGTATTTAAAATCTAAAATGTGATACAAAAAATAACCTCCCACATTTCATTCATTTTAATTGGGGAAAAAAATGAAAGAAAAAATTGATTTAAAAAATTTCCTTTCCTTTCATATTAGTTCTAGGCAACTGGAAAGAGGGGAAGAAAAAAATCTCACCTTGCCCATGGTTATATAAAGATCTTTGTCTCTATGACAACAGAAAGGTTGATCTGCTTGATATGGAAACAGCTTCTGAAAAATATGTTAGTAAGAAAATGCTAATAATAATTATGGCAATTTCTTTTTTGCATGTTGTACCTACTGAACAGAAATTAAATTTTTAGACTTTGATATAAGACATAATCCAGAGGCCTTGGCAAGACATTGGCTTGGTACAAAAGTAATTGCCATTTCTTTCAATGGCAAAAACCATGATTACTTTTGCACCAACCTAATACAACGTTCATATCAATCCAGCGTTACTGTTTCCTGACATCTTTCTTGAGTGTCTTCCTCTTCCTCCCATTTGCAGTGTAAATCAGGGTCCAAAACAGTGTTCAATGCCTAGAGGGATATACATGTGAAGGGTGTGGTTCCTGTCCTTGAGAAGCCCACAATCTAAGTGGAAACACCGCCCCGCCCCAAGAGATTGGTATAGGTGTAGAGAGAGACAACAAGGCTCTAAGGAATTCACAGAACGAATTAATCACTGTGAACTGAAGGCTCCAAGGGAAGGCTTCATGGGCCAAGTGTTAAGAAGCTGAAGTGTGAAGAAGGAAAGAGGGGTCCTGGTGGAAGAACCACAGGTTAAAGTCGACTAGAGATTCCTTGCTGAGAACCAAGGAACAAGGTTGAATAAATTCTTCCCAGGCTTTGGGGAGGAAATATTTCTCAAGAGAAGACATAAAGTTGGGAGCTTTGATTACTCAGAAGTTGTGCAAAAAGAAAAAAAATTCCCAATCTTGACTAATAAGCTTCCAGTGAAAGTCATTATTTGATGATTTGTGGCAAAGGCATTAAATAAAAACCATGATTAGGAGTCACTTCCCCATGAAGCCTTCCCTGATGCCCACTGCCCCACCCCCACTCCACCTCCAGCTTCCCCATCCACATACTCACTTCAATATCCTAGGCTTACATACATTTTTGTACATATCCCACCAAAATGCAACCATTTGTTCAGCATGTGCCTCTTCTGTCAGATCAGGTTTCC